CTTTCTGTCTCTCTTAGGCAGGAGCTTTCTTTCTCCCAATAAATTTTTCCACCTCCTTGTTCCTAGAATTCATTCTTCGATTTTAGAGAACACGAACTCGTGTTTCCGGTATCTAGTAGGTTTGGGAGTTACATCTCTTCCCCCTATATCACTAGGACATACACGTTCACTTTTCTTAAACATTAGAGGGACTTTAGGAGGAAAAGGTGACAGAGCCACCCCCATGTTCACCACTTGGAAGCTATCCGACCAATCTCTTTAAATCTGATCTATCCTCTGGGAGAAATAATCCTAGCACTTTTCACGCCACTATTGTAAGAATTAAGCAAAATGAGATAAAAAACCAGAGAGATGAACGGCAAATCCTTGACAAATGTCTCTTTGCTCTTTCTTACTACAGATGATATATGAGACGCCCACAAAAGTTCTCTCCCAAATCTGAAATTAGTCCCCACTCACTGATCATTCATTCAAACATTAATTCACTGAATACATATTTGGAGAGGGCTGAAACTTATGTCAGACTTGATGAACAGCACAGGTGACAGCTCCTGCCCTCTGGATGTGAGGCTGGACCCCAACCTGGCCTGTTCGTTCTTCTCTGAAGGATTCAGCCCTGTCTTGGTTGTCTGTGGGGAGAGACCCCCCCAGGCCCCCTTTCTCCCTGTGAGATAAGATGGCGCTGAGCCCTGCAGAGGCAAGGGTGGTGCTGAGTGTGTGAGAAAGCCAGGCCCCGATGCCAGGTTCCAATCCTGCCCATCGCAGGAGCAGAGCCAGCCACTCAAGGGCCCAGTGGGGACCAGCTGGAGCAGACTTTCCTGAATGTCTGCCTCAGACAATGAGGCTCTTTCAACCCAAGGCACCGGCGGCTGACTGCAGTGTTTTTCACACAGATTTAAACAGGACTTCAGAAGAATTCCCCGGGGGAAAAGGGTGTACCGTTTGTACACTGGCTCATACACACTGGGCCAGGATATGCCCTACATTAAAAGAAGCCTCTGGAGGAAAGGAAAAATTATGAGAAAAAGAAAAAATGGAAATAAAGTAAATAGGAAGAGGTAGAGGGGTGAAGGGAGGGCAGGGGAATGGGGAAAAAATAAGAACCAAGATACATCATATACAGGTACAAGATCCCAATGATGAATGTGAATGTATTGTATACCTAACATGTACCAATAAAAGAATTTAAGCAAAAAAAAAAAAAAAAGAATGTTTATGTGTAGGCACAGCTTTACCAAATATAAAAATTAGTTTGGAAAACCTATATGGAGCCACTTATAATAAATTCATTGCAACCGTCCCAAAAAAGGCCTCTGGAAAGCCAGTCCCACACGTGGATGATGGCTGCTCTCAGGAGGGCAGAGCACTTTACAGACTGAGGACGGACAGGTGGGCAGTGAGTCAACACAAGACTGAATTCCCCTTGTAAGGCAGCCAATTTTCTCCATGGCCCTGTAGCTCAGAAGAACAGTTGCGTTTTTCTCTCTGTAACTCAGGGTAACCAATTAAACAGTTCCCATGGAGAACCTGGGAAATCTTGCACTCAATAAAATCACAATCATCTCCACAAGAACAGATTTCTCCATTAAAATCATATTTCCACCTCTCTTACCTCACAACAACCCTTTGGAGATTGGGAGCCTGGGTTATCATACCCTTTAACAGACAAGAAAATGAGATTCAGGGAGCAGTTGTGACGTAGGAAGGCACCGTGCTTTTCAGATCAGACAGGAGCAGCTGTGCTGGTGCCTGGACCAAAGTGTTTCTGCTCTCAAGGCTCGCTCTTCATTAGTAAGAGTTTGAATCATGAAGACATAAAGCAGTAAAGACCAGCATCTGAGCCTGCTGTACTACATCCTTTTAAATAATTTTCATTTTAACCTGAAGGGGCGGTGCCCTGGCTTCGAGTGAGTGATGATGGGGTGGTGCATAAGTGTGACCTGCAGGGTCGGTTCAGGGCCTGGCAGGGCTGGAGAACGGCCCCTTAATTTCCCTTGATGACTCAGAAGGAGACAGGGACCTGGAAAAGAGAGCCAAAGAGAGACCACGGAGGTGCTGAAAAAGAAGCCTTGTTGATGGGCAAAAGAACAATGAGTCTGCATCTATAGTTTTTCCTTCCTTTAGTCACTGATTCACGGGTGTCACTTTTTCCTGTGCCCTTGACTGCCTATCCTGTCACCCACTTTAGGAAAACCCGATTGCACGCATAGAATTAATGACAGCATGTATTGCAATATCACCCTGTTTTCCATAAATATGTATGATTACCATGCCAATTAAAATAACTTTTCAAAGAATAGTGCCAGTAGATAACACTTACAGAGAGCTTCTAGATAATATCTTAATCACTGTACATAAAGTCACATACTATTTGTGTGTGTTGAAGGAAAATCTATAGGATATTAGCATGACTAGCTTCACCCATGTTTTATAAATGAGGGAACTGAGGCATGGAATGGTTAAGGCCAATTTCCATCCTCAATTTTGAACCGTGGATATCCAACTCTCTACTAAGATGTTGAATACATGGAGATGGGAGGATGTGTCTCCTTTCATTTTTTTTTAAGCAGCTTTCTATACAGAGAAAAGAGTTTTGCCCTTCTTTCTTCTCCAGGTTTTCTAGCACTGCACTCAGGAAATAAGCTCGCAGTAAATCTTCGGTCGAGCATGTACAACAAGAACAAGAAGGTCCCGATGGCAGGGGTGATTCCCGCCATGGGTCTGAGAGGTCCCGGGCTGAGAGTCAGAGGGACCAGAACTCCAAACGCCATGCTGGTCTGGCCCGGAATGCGGCTGGCCTCTCCTAAGTAAGTGACAGAGGAGCGAGTGCTCCTCTCAGGTCCTGGCCTGTGACAGCCAGAAGACCCAGTTCATAAAGCCTATGAGACGGCCTGGCCTGCGACACAGCCAGTCCATCACTCCTAAATCAATGGCCCATGAGTCTTCCTCAGCTGAGAAAAGATCCCAGCTTTTCGAGAAGCCCTGGGGGTCCCATCTTTTCATGATCATGAGCCAGTGTTGCATCTGAGATGAGGCACTGACTTAACTGTCCCCACGGAGGAGCTGAAGACTGCAAGGAAGCCAGGAGGGAGCAGCACCCCTGAGTCTGAGATGGGCGCTCCCCGTGTCGGGAAGACTGAAGACAGCCGACCCCTGCCCACAAGCCCACACCCGAACCCACTGAGAAGGGGCTTACGGGGCCCACAGGACTGAGCACTTTTCAGCACTGTGCATCTTCCAGGGTCCTTGCCCGTGAAGCAGGGATGAGGGCCCCAAGGGCTGCAAAGGTCTCTGCTTGACCCTAAGCCCACCCCAAGCCCACACCCTTCCCCCCAAGGACCTCAGTGGTCCCATAGGACACCGGACAGCTTCCCTGGACCAGCCCGACCCCGCCTGCCAAACGCCCCGGCAGACTGCCCTCCAGACCTGACACTGAAATCCTGGGGTCTCCTGAGCTGATGCCCGCTGCGTAGAGAACACTGAATGTACCCGTGTGGAAATCACAGAACCTATCGGAATCCCTGAGAGCATCTGTAAGCACCCCGGCACTGATGTTCACTTGATGCCAGCTTTGTGCTTATTCTGCCAGAAGAAGTAATTTGGCCGATGTCCCAGGCTGAACTATGGTCCCAGACCCACAGGTCTCTAAAAGTCATGCTTTATCTTTCCTTTGTCAGTTCCCTTTAAAAAAGAGAAAAAAAAACTTTACTACATTCTAAAAATAACAGACACTGATTTGTAGAAAACTTGAGAAGCACTGGAAAAAAAAATTGTTTTAAAGACATAATCTTGAGTAATGTTATAATCCAAAAGGAACTAATGCCAACACTGTGGCATCAAACATCACTATATAAATACAATTTATTGACTAATTTTTCCTTTGTTATACTGAAATCATGAGTTCATATCATGAAAAATTGGATAACTTATTGCTAATATCTATATAATACTCCATCTATTTATAATCAATGCAATGCTGCCTTCTTATCATTGAACACTTAGGCCACATCTGATTTTTAGCAATTATAAGCAATACTGAAATAGATCCCTTTTTACATCAACCTGGGATTCAATTCTTAAACATTTAGTTCAGACACATTCTCAAACATAAGGAATGTGCTTTGGGGCTAAGGATGTAGCTCAGCAGAGCAGTGCCTGCCTGGCAAATGAGAGGCCCTGGGTTTGATTCTGGTACAAAAACAAAAGAATGTGCTTTTACTATTATTCTATGCTACCTTTTAAAAAGAATTAAGACCTTCCTTCCCCACTTCTACCACCACCCGGAAGCTCTTCCGCCGTATCTGTGAACCCCGAGTTGCCCCATACAGGTCGCGACCCCAGCTCTGGGGAGCAGTGAGAGGGACTTGGCGTCTGCAGAGAGCTTGGCACCCGCTTTCTCCACTGCCAGGTGACTCTGAGGCAGTTACCTGAGGCCTGCACCTGTCTTCTCACCAGAAAATGGGCACTAGCAGTCCCTCCCTCAAAGGACTGACGGGGAGATCAGAGAGAAAGCATGTGACACAGAAGCCACCATGTGTTCAGTAAAGGTCGGCTGCTCTTACCTTCAGATGTCCTGGCAGATTTAGAAAGCTTGGGAAGAAACACACCATGGAAAAGAAAGCCTCATTCCTTCATGTTGATTTGAGTTTTTGTTTTGGTTTCTTTTTTTTTTTTTTCTTGCTTGCTGGTTAGCTTTTTTATAAAATAAAGCTCTGTTTCAAAAAGTATTTAAAATATCGTGGTGAGAATGACAGGTGCCAAAATAACATTTCCCAAGTGCACCAGCATGCGCATCACCCTGGAGGTTTTGAAAGCCTTTGCTCACATGTTAGGCTGACAAATCTGAAGGTTTGCACTCACAGACACGTCTCAAGACCGGCGATTCAGGCCGCCTTGCATCTGGGCCAGGGCTCAGTCCCTCCTCCCTGGGGCGGGCCTCCAGGTCCAGCCCCAGCAGGATTGGCCCAGGCTCCTTGCTCAGGGACATTTAACCATGAAGCAAGAAGCTGCCTAGAGGCAGAGAGAGAAGGGAAGCAGAGCAGCATGGTCTAGGCTCTCCGGGAGCAGCAGGGACCTGTGACAGACAAGCGTAGCCAGGTAACAGGCTGGCAAGGAGCACACTAGCAGGTTGGAGGAGAGGGAACTAGGCTCAAAAGTTTTCTGCCCTGTGTGTCCTCCTGCCGTGGAATGAAAGCAAAGAAAGGCATCCGTTCCACAGTCCCATCAGAGGATTAGACATTTCAGGAGTCAACACAGTGATCCCAGGGATTCAGTGACCATGAAGCTTGAGGAAAAGCTAGAGGAGATTGGCCACATTGGAGGAAGGAGGGGGCCTTGTCTCAGTGAGACGTGCCAGGCAGATGCGAAGCTGAGAGCAAACAGAAAAGGGGACGGCCCTGCAAAGCAAGAGGCAAATGGCAAGAGCACTGTGCCCAGGAGAAGTCTCAACACGTACACCTGGCAGGAGGTCCAGAGACACAACCAGGAGGGTGACCAGTGGCTGGTGATCAACCGGAAGGTTTACGATGTCACCAAGTGGGCGTCCAGGCATCCAGGTGGGCACCGGGTCCTCAGCCACTATGCTGGGGAAGATGCCACGGTAAGGATCCTGTCTCTCTCTCTCTCTCTTTCTCTCCCTCCCTCCCTCCCTCCTCCTAGATGCAAGGTGGCTGAGCTCTTGGCTGTCTTCCCAAAAGGGTTCAAGTACGTGTTCAGGCTCAAGATCACTCATCCCCTCCCAAACCAATTTTTCAGGATTCCTATCTAGCAAGACTCTCGAAGCAATTTAGGCTCCAAGATCTAGCTGTTTCCTGCACCCGGTGGAGGATGAACTCACATGTTGACTGTGAAACTGTGTTTGTGTATTCTGGGCTTTGTTTTGCTTTCTTTTGAAATGGGGTTACCATCTTACAAGAAGAAAGTTGACAATAGGTGAGTAAAATCCACAGGGGAAACATCTGTATCCCACGCAAAAATTTCCAAGACTTTTATAATTGCTGTGTCCCAAAGAGAGAAAGCCATCCATCCAGTGGGCATCTATGTGTTGTTAAAAGTGATAGAAGCCAACAATGACCATGAATTTTAGGGCTGGCGGCATGCTTCTGATGAGGTAGCTGCTCATTCAGTGTGGCAGAGATGATGCAACCCACTTCTAGGGAGACATTTAAATGCACCAACTCTCATACATCTCCCCATGAGGGAAGTAAAACTACTCCCATGGTACAGATAAGAAAGTTGATTGCAAAGAGATAAATAATGTGTCACCTCTCTAGCAATCGTAGTGCCAAACTTCGGAATCAGATTGGTTTAGTCACAACTCCCTGTACATATGGAATCTTTAAAAATACAGTTTCCATTTACTATTTAATAAGGAGGTCTCTCAAACTCTTAAGTGCTTTGAAGAATCCTTTTGAAAATACTCTAAAAGGATATCTGTTTGCTCTCTACTGGGAATTTTATTTTCCATATTCTACAGATCCAAAATCAGAGGGTTAGGGGGACTCAGCAACTAACTCAAAGACAGAAAAATGATATACAACACAACAGAAATTTAGGCCTGAGCTTTTAAAATTCTTTTCTCGTACCTGGTAACTTTATAAATTGGCATACAGCTCCTGCAGCTGGTTTCAAAATTTAAGACCAGAAACATCATTTTGCCAAACACCAGCCTACAAATGGTGTGTGCTAATAATAAAAGAATGTGGAGGTAGTAGACATTCTTTTAAATATAGATTTTATTTTGTGATCCCATCACCATTTTTTTCCTCAATTCTCAATTTTCCCCCATTCTCTCATTCCGCCTCTCTGTTCTTATACCATCTTCTGGTCTCGACTTTGCAATCCGATGAATGTCTTTCTGAAAGCATCCTGTTGCCTTCTCACCACTTCTGTGAAATAAGATTTTAAGAAAAAATAAAGCCCAGCCTTCCCTTGGGAAAATGAGCATGGGCTTGTAGTGATGGGTGAGTGTATTGTGTGTTAGGAAGGTGCACACTGTAGAAACCTCAGTGGCGAAGGGTAGAAAAAGCAAAATGGAGAATATTTCTATGAGAATAACAGGAAAGTAAATAACAAATACAAAATGAAAAAAAGACTACAGACTCTGATTCAGTGCTTCTAATTCCCCCAGCTCAGAGAAGATATGGACAAAGGTTTTCAATGTCACAGAATTAATTCAAACGGGCAAAGATGGGGGCTTTCAAGCTTGTTGAAAATAACTGATAGCCTTACTCCACTGCAAGCAGCATGAATGATAAACCTTGAATTTGCTAATAATTTTTATTCTGGAGAAGTCAGGGAAAGACTGTGCTTATGCATCCAACTCTATCCAAGGAGGAAGAATTGATTACTATCATAGAAACCATCAGAACCTTAGGGACACATAGCCAACCCACCTAGGATTTGCATATGTCCAGGAAGAAAATCATAAACCTGGTAAGCCAAGAGAAAAGATTTGCTAAGAGAAGATGGGTCAAGAAGGACAGCATGGATACCAGGAGGGTCCTGGCCATTAGCATACAGGAATAATCAGAGGATAAGCAGCGTGAGCTTGGACTCATTTACGTGAACGGGCACAAGTTATTGCAGAGCTCTCAGCCTCCGTTCAGTGATCTGCAAGTTAGGGAGGACACCAGCCAGGTGACAGGGTGACGGTGACTGGAAGGGATGCCAGTGCCGTGCGGGCACCGTTCTCGGCACAGGTCAAAGTTCGTTAGACCAGAGCTACTTTGTATTCATATCACTGGCCCCATACCCCCGGAAATATGGTTATTTCCTGTTTGCTCAACATCAGCTTACAATCCTGATGCTCTCTGGTGCCTTTTGCTTGGGAAGAGCTCTACAGTGGAGACGCACGATGCTTTTGAGTGACGGAGGGCAGAACATCAGGTCGGAGGACCTGAGGTCAAAGGTCATCCTTGACCTTAAGATATGTGTTCAGGTCGTGACTGAACAGGACATGGAGACCAAAGTACAGCCCTGGACCAAGGCTGCAGCTGTCCCGATGGGGCGCCATCCTCTTATTTACGTAGGGTATTTTCTCCAGACCTCATACAAGGTGAAGGATAATGAAGTGGTCTGCCCCACGGGTCCCTAGTCCATTCATTCTTGCTAGCTATTCTAAAGCCTTCGTGAGGTAGGGGTTCAGCCTCGTGTTGAAAGTACAGGTATTAGGCAGAAACAGGTACAGTGTGCATCTAGGAAGGTCCTGTGGAAACTTGCTCTTGGGTTCTCAGGGGTTTTAATCTAGAAAATGGGGGTGGCAATACCCTCATCTTAGTTTTGTTCTCCAAGTCAGCGAGAATAAAATAAAGTACTCCTTACAGTGGTGGGCACTGATTAAATACTCAGGAAGTGGTAGTTCTTGTGTTTAAACACTATTTCATTTTTCTGAAATGGATTTTGATGTTCTTCAGGGAACTTTACTGAGAAAAACAAACCTGAGCTGGCCATGGTGGTGCACACCTGTAATCCCAGCACTCTGGGAGACTGCACCAGGAGGACCACAAATTTAAGTAAGCCTGAGAAATTTAATGACTTGGTGAAACCCCATCTCAAAAAATAAAAATTTAAAGAAGAGAAAGGGCTGGGGATGTAGTTCAATGGAAAGCTCCTGAGTTCAGAAGTAAAACATATGGTTTTTGTCCTTGGCTCTATTGATATAGTGTATTACATTGATTGATTTGTGTATGTTGAACCATCCTTGCATCCCTGGGATGAATCCCACTTGGTCAGGGTGTATGATCTTCTGCATTGTTTGCCAGTATCATACCGAGGATTTTTGCACCTGTGTTTGTGAGGGAGATTGGCCTGTACTTCTCTTTCTTGGTTGGATCCTTCTCTGGTTTTGGTATCAGGTAATGCTTGCTTCCAGGAAAGACTTTGGGAGTGAGTATTGCTTCCTCTTCAATTTCATTAAACAGTTTCAGAAGTAGCAGCATTAGATCTTCTCCAAATTTCTTATAGAATTCAGCAGTGAATCCATCAGGGCCCGGGATTTTCTTTGTTGGTAGGTTTTTAATTGCACCTTCAATTTCATTGAGTGATATTGGGTTATTTAGAATTTTTATATCTTCTTGATTCAGCTTTAGTAATTCATGTGTATCTTGGAATCTGTCCATTTCTTCTGTGTTTTCCATCTTATTTGAGTACAGGATCTCAAAGTAGCTATTGATTAAGTGAAATAAATTGGATACCCATCTGTAAATATGGCATTGCTTCTCTGGTGTGAGAAACTGAAAGTGTAAATAAGGATCAAAATATATAATAGATATTGTGAAGTAGGAAGTAAATGTTCAAATGGGAAGGGGAACTAGGGAGGGAGGAAGGGGGAAGGAAAAGGAAAAAATGAGAAAAGAAGGAAAAAATGGAAACAAAGTATTTGTAAATAAAGAGAGGAAGAGGGGCCAAAGGGAGGAGGGGAAATAGAACAAAAAGAAGAATCTAGATATATCATATACAGATACAAATTCCCTAGGATGAATGTGATCATTGTGTATATAGAAACTGTACCAATAAACTTAATTAACTAAAAAACAAATAAAATTAAAATGGCTGAGTATGTAATTCAGTGCAAAGACCCTGAGTTCAATCCAAGAAAGGAAGGAAGGAAACCAGGTAAGAAGGAAGGGAAAAGAAAGGAAAGGAAAAAGGAAGGAAGAAAATCTATAAAACAAAATCAGCACATACAACCCTTATGTTATTATTTGTTATTGGACATATAAATTTTCTGGTCTTTTAAAACTGCATAATTTATAACTAAAATCTCAGTGCTACTAATTAGAATTTGGTCCCCAGCCTTTTCACTTGATAGGCTCGCTCATGAAGAGCCAGAAAGCCTGTATGTGCAACAGGAAGAATTGATTATAAAGATTACATTCTAATTATGTCATGATAAGATATTTTGCAATCATTAAAATAAAGGCTGCACAGCATTTTGTGATACGATGTACATACGAAGTTCACCGTCAGCTTCTGTAAGACAAGAGCATGCTCCAAGCTTCACGCTCCAAGCACCTCCTAGGCTTGGCACAGTGCTGCTCAAAGCACACGCTCAGTTGCTGTCGGGGGGCGGGGGGGGGCTGTGGTAGTGATGACCATACGGAAGATGGAGAGAAGACAAAGGGACAGGGTAGCTAGGGAAAGAAAATCCCAGGGAGAAAGAGGGGAAAGCCCTAGGTGTTGAGCAAAGGACTTTGCATTTTACCCTCAGGGCCTGGCAGTCTCTCCCTCCACAAGGCAGGAGGAGAGAGAGTGGGATTTCAGGTTCCAAGGGACAACAGTGGATCCCGAGGAGGGACTGTTTCTCTGTAGCTCAGCCTGGCAGCCAAGTGGAAAATGAGATGAGGAAGAGTTGGTCACAGTGAAGGAAGATCAGGATGGAGTGCGGGGAACACGCTGAAGGCGCAGGAAAAGCACCAGCGACGACAATGGCAGGGGTGGCAGAGGCATGAAGGAAATCTAGAAGACAGAAGGTAGAGTTGGCGAGTCACTGCATGCATGAAGCTTGAGTCCCTGGCTCACAACAGAAAAAGGGCTGGGGATGCAGCTCAGTGGTTGAGCATCCCTGGATTTGATACCTAGTACAAAAAAATGAAAGAAAGAAAGAGAGAAAGGGAGAGAGGGAGAGGGAAGAGAAGAAAGGGAAAGAAAAAGAGGAGCAAGTATAAATTCACGAATCTGACTTGAACTGGGTGGTGAAATCCAATCATTATAAGACAAGAGCAGCAGGGTGGGAGGGACAGACAGGCTTGGAAGGGAGTGTGGGTGGGAAGCGGGAGTGACTGGGCTAGGGCTCAGCAAACCGAACGCAGTATGTCCATACAAGGGAAACTTTGACGTAAGGAAAGACCTGGACAGAATGGGCAGCGTGTGTGTGCTTCTTCCGGCGGGAGAAAGGGGGTCCGGTGTCTTCTGGGAGCATTCCCTACCCAAGCTACTGAGTCCCGGATCAGGGCAGAGGTGCGTTCTCCACCCAAATCAGCCCTCACCTTCCACCAGAAGCCTGAGGAGTCTCAGCCTCGGCCTTAGCACACTCGCACTGGGGATCCACAGAGCAAGTAGAGAGGAACTGCCCGAAGGAGGGAAAGAGTTTTCTTCTGTGGTTGGGTACAGAATATTCTTGTGAGCTTTTTTAGAAGAGAGCACAGCAAAAGCTGCATTCCTGTTGTCTTCTTTGGTGAGCTGCATTCTCCGTTGGTAGGTTTCTGGATTTATGTTCGTTGTTCAGTCCTCTTCAGGAAAGTTAGCACTGTCAGTGAAATAAGTGAGAGTGTACAAACCTCTTGGTTTCTAATTCCATGCCTGAGCCCTGAGTGGTCAGGCTAGGGCTTGGACAGGTTTCAGACGAGGACGACCAGGTAGTGTTACCTACATATAGAAGAAAGATGGGGTTAGAGAAATTAAGTGAGCTGCCCAATATGAAAGTCATCTCTTCTGCTAGCCTCTACCTTGGAATGAATTTGAAAAGACCCACTTTGGGGGTGGTTGCAGCCCCTCAGGCACAGGGTTTGGCAGATGGAACAGAAAGGCTGCTGGACCTGGGGCTGCACTTGCCCACCCTCTTCCCGGGTGTCTGTGCAGGGCCCGACCTGGATACAGCATTTAAGTTGCAAAAACAGGACCTCATCCCAGGCCTTCTGACTTCTCACGCCTAACCCTCACCCTCCCTCAGGATTAGACCGCCAAGCAGGAAAGCCCATCACATTATTTCCCACTAAATAACAGCAAAACTAGCAGCATTTCCAAGGCATTGGTGAAATCAAGGCAATAAACACATCTTTCCCGCGTTGATACATACTATTTTGAGAAAAGTCAGCTTCTAGAGGAGCTCTAACGTACATTTAGGAACGAGCTAAGGAACGGACACGGTGATTTAGCAGGGAGTGGAAGGCTAACAAATGAAAGTGGGAGCTGCAAAAGTAGCAGAATGCGAGACAGCAGAGAGGCAAAGGACAGAAAGACAACAGCACCCAACACCTGCGTCTTCCGAGAGCAGCACTGCGATCATCCAGTCCCTGACACAGTCTTCCCAGGCCCGTGTCCTCCTTGCCACTTCCCTTACTTACCAGGTGTGTATTCATCACATGCCACAGTCCAAGCGCCATGCAGACGTTGGGTAGATAGCTGTTGGTCCACAGTAGACTGCTGACTCACACAGTCCCAGCCTTCAGCAACTCTCAACTCTCCAAAGAGACAAGCTCACTACAACATGGCTTTTAGAGCTCTGGCAATGCAGTGTGCTGGTGCCAGGTGGTGATCATGAATAACTTTCCTGAACGAGTTAGGGAGAGGCTGTACTCAGTGTGGTCTGAAGGGTAAGGGGGTAGTTTTGTGCCGAAAGTGGCAGAAGGAAGTCAAGGCAACAGGAGCTGCACATGGAAAGCCTCAGATCCTAGAATGTCTATTGAATGAGGAGTGGAGGAAGTGGTGTGCACAAGATGTGGGGATATTTGGGCCAGCAGGGAAGGGCTTTGCATGATTAAAACCTGAGGTGGGAGACACCATTGCCATCTGCCCAGAAGATACTGATTTTCAGGTCATCTCAAACAATCCACCATCCTGCCTTTCAGAAAAAGAAATGCACGTCAGAGCTGCAGCAGACTTATAGTTTCCTTTCTTTAGAGTCACAGAGCCCTGAGTTCAAATTCCGGCTCCACTACTGACTGTGGCATTTTGAAGCAAAATGTTTCTCCCCTCTGAGACTCGATGTCTTTGTCCAACAAGAAGCTATGGAATCTTACAGAATTAAGGCAATAGCTAGGAGTTGGCCCACAGAGAGCCTGGTATGTAGGATCTACCCCGTGAACACTGGCTGTACCCTCTTCTCTTCAATTTTATTCCCTCTCCTTCTCCCAGCAGGAACATACTTGCCCGAGAATGTTGGCAACAGAACCTGTTTTGCAGACTTTCAAGAAGGGATTTCACAACTCACATTCTGGATTCTATTAGAAAATCTTGACTGTATAAGATGAGCTAAACTCCTTTATTGTTATGTCGCATTAATGCAATGACAAGTTGCCACATACTGTGTCAAGGCCCAGTATTCAGGAGAGCTCTGCAGCTCTTCCATAGCTATCATCACAGTTTTTGACCTGTGACCCTTCCCGGGGAGAGGAAGAAAAGGGTGATCTCAGAAGGATGTTATTACCAGCACGCTCTAAGGCGAAGCTGCACTAGATTACATTGTTCTGCACTTTGACCTTAATTCATCGGGATGTTTTCTACTGCAAACTGCTCTGAAACAGCAAGCACAACACGACACTTTTAGTATGAGAGTCAGTGTTCAGTTTCTTCTTCGCTAAATCATTCTGTACCTGTTTAGGGAAACTAAGCTTTAAGACCTTATGTCTAAAAGCATCTTCAGAATTTCTAAGGCTCATAATTTCCCAAGGGTGTGGGAAGAAATGTGTACAAACAGAATTGTCAGGAAAGCCGGCCAGGTTCTAGCAGATTAAAGCTCTCTTTATATCATTTCATCCACAGACCCTCAGGTGAAGTGAGCCTGGAGTTGAGATTGAGCCCTTCTGGCTCCCTTATTTACTCTATAAGCACCTTCTACAAGTAGACTCATGTATATCCAAAGTGGGATATATTCAAAGTTACTTCAGGATTCATTATATTCCCACTCCACACCAGACATTAGGCAATAGGAACAAAATCAATGAATTGCTGCATTAAAGAGAAAATAGATAGGAAGTTCTCATCATTAGAGGTATGCAATAGGAAAGACAGTAAGTATTGTAAATTATGTATATGTCAATCGTCATTGTATTTAATTCATTTATTATTCTTAACTGATTTATTATATTATTATTTAATTCCTCATAACAGCTTATAAATGGAGTAGCAATCATTAACCCCATTTGGGGGGGGGGAGATCACAGGACACAGCTGTAGCAGAAAGCTGGAGCTCAGGTATGGGAAGCCTGGCTTCAAGGCCTGCTTTCTGGATGGGTGCTGGGAGTGACACTACCCCAGAGCACTTGCGTGGCTGCCCTGTACTCAAGTTACAACTACATTTCATTTTCAATCACTCCCCTCCCAGAATCATAGTAACAGGAAGTCCAGAATCTCCATCTGGTAGAGTCCTTCTTCCCAACCCCTCTGTGAATACTGGGAAGGAAAGATGCTCTTACTTCTAAACATAAGAGGAAATAGGAACCCCACTGCTTCTCAGAGCCATATGAAACGGCTACTTAGCAACAACATTTTTATGGAGTGATGAGAGCCCTTTGGGGAAAACTCAGCCGAAGAGTGTACAACTTCACACAACCGGGCCTCCAGTACTGCACTCCCATGATCCCTCATGTCTTTGTCTTGAGCCATTGTCACCAAAGTTATCTGTCCTTCTCTGGACATAACCAGCCTGTGGGGCCTAGTTCTTCTGGGTTTGGCCGGAAACCCAGAGGAACCCTCAACAGAAGATGGGATTCGCATAGCCAATCTTGTTGCTGCACACCTTAGGGAGGGAAAGCAACTGCCCAACAAAAGCCACGCAGGTCTTTAAAGATTCCTCATGGCCAGTAAACCAAAGCAACTACTTCTCCTGATGCTCAGTAAGATAATCAGTGAGGTCAGTGGTCCAGGATAGCCTGGCTGTATTGGCCAGGTCTAGAGAGACAGAATATGCAGGACATGGGTCCCTGGCATTCGCCTTCAGAGACGGATCGCAAGGGTAATTCTGATCCACCAGTTGGAAGCATCAGCCTGGACTCAGAAGCAAGTCCTCTGTAGTGGGGTTTGTGCTGGTCCCCAGGGTGAGTAGGAGACGAGGTCTGAAAGTTAGTTTGCGGATAATCTGTCTCCCCTGAACTTCTAACAGAGCGCTCTCTCCTACAGGATGCCTTTAGGGCCATGCACCTGGATCTGGACATTGTGAAGCTGTACCTTAAGCCTCTGCTTATTGGAGAGCTCGCCTCAGGAGAGCCTAGCCAGGAGAGAAACAAAAATGTAAGTGAGACCTCAGGATCAAGTGTGTGGAAGCCTGAGACAAGGTATATACAGCTGTCGTGCCTGGGTAAGCTCACAAAAAAGTATGAGACTTCCCTCTTCCTTCCCAGGACTATATTCTAAGACTCTCAGTAGATGATTGGAACTGTGGATAGCACTGAATTCTACATACAAGCAATTTGATACCATGAGAGTTGATGATAACCAAGACAAAGATCTAAAGAGGATGACATTGCTTTGATGTCTGCAGAACCCACTCATTTACAGTAGTTCTCCTTTATCCATGGTTTTATCCCCATAGTTTCAGTTTGGGAATAACAGCAGGGTAGTGTACACAGTGTGGACAAAGCAATGGTTTCTGCCCTGGGTGGGACAAAACAAGATGGGGGGGGGGGCGGGGTTCATCATGTTACCCAGAATGGTGCCCAATTAAAACCTGATCATTGCTTCTTTCTGAAAATTTTCTCTTTAATATTTCTGGACCACAATTAATGCAGGGTAATGGAACCTGTGGGAAGGAAATGCATGGGCCCAGGGGACTGAGTGGATTCTGCACCTCTCCAAGCAATACTGTCTTTAGATCCTTAGGAATCTCAAACCTCTGTGAAACAAAGGAATGAAATTTCTGGCCCTGTGTTCCACAGCAGTTCTCCATCTCTGAACACCTACTTCATGCCAGGCAGCATACACATATTTTTTTCAGTGACTCCTGGCAATTATGTGTTTGACATCTACACCTCTTGTTCCCTGCTAAACTAAGCTCCATGGAGGCAGAGAATGTGTCTCTCCTGCTCACCCTGCATCCTGCAGACCAGCACAAGACATGGAACAGGAAACCCATAAAGAGCTGTGGAATGGAGGATGCAATTAGGTCCTCACCAGTGTTCCTTTTACACTTGGAGACATTATCATTCTTGTGGAATAAATTTCTTTCTGAAGCCCCCACAGCTGTTTTACCAAAGCAATGTAACCCTAAATTACTTCTCTCTAGCACCGAGCTCTTCAGTATTCCCAAGGGTGTATGCCAGTATTTCTTTGCTCTTTGGGCTACATGGAATACTGTCCTCCAAAGAATGGAGTCTCAATAAGACTAAAACTTCACTGGGTGGTTTTACATAAACCTTAAAGGACTTTGACTTAATGGTGAACAATTCAATTTTTACAATTTATTTTTATAAGAACTTATATTTGTCAGATTCTTAGTTTCTTTGAAACAATTTGCACAAAGTGCTGATCCACATCTCACTGTGAAGTCAGACTCACATAGGGGGTGGAAGGACCAGGAGACACTGAATGGATCATGTCCAGGTCCGAGGCAAACACACTCACTCCTTAGCCCAAGTTCCTCCACGCAGCTGTGGATCAGCCAGCACAACTCTGCTTAGAAGATGATTCTGAGGGCAGATGGGTTGAAACCATACCCATCCCTCCCACTCTGCAACTCTACAGGTTCAGACCAGCTCCTAGACCTCTCTGTGGCTCAGTTTCTCACACGGTAGAAGAGAACAATAACACCCATCTCATAAGAGTTACTAAGAGGTGATAAGAAAGAAATAAGAAATGAAATCATTTCAAGTATCTAGAGCATAGTAAATGCTCAATAAATGTTAGATCCTATCATCATCATGAGCCCAGTGGCGGTACTAGGAACTTAAAAACCTCCAGACATGTCCCCGTCATTTGGGGAAGTTGGCCCAAGGCTGAAAGGGAAAAATGATGCCAAGCTCAATCGATATTCCCCAAAACACCCTGAAAAGGACAATAAAATCCTCCTGATGGTGGAGAGCTGTGAGATAATCCCTGGTCTCCAAGGACAAACACCTGCTGTAAATTTTCTGCCATGCATCTGTACATTCGGGTGGCTACCTAGGGACCACTGGGTGTTAGGGTGAAACAGTGTCATGGGCTGAAGTCCAGTGTCTGTCACTGCCTTGCTGATTTCCAAGCCAAGCCGGTCACCCTTCTGGATTCCAGTGACCTTGTACTCCAGTTCAGCTGGGACCAACCCTAGAGGTGACTGATTAACATCAGACACTCATTAAAATCATCTCTAGTGGCCAGAGTTCCAAGGTCAACCGGGACTTGAGGGAAAAGCCAATCCAGACTTTTGGGAGCAGGGAGTCCTTTCAAAGTTGTATCAGCAAAACCTTAAATGAGAAATTGGCTCCTAGCATTGCTTTCCTGACTCTTGTTTATTCCCAGTTTTTCTCTTTTCTTATAACTGTACAGCCCTGTTATTTTTTTTCTCACAGCCTGGTCATTTCTCAGCTGTCCGGGCTTCAAACCCATTAAAGTTATTAAGGCAAATGGCACTTCTCCCAGCCCTTGCACAGATGTGGCAAGCGTGCAAACCAAAGCCACCATTGTCCACAAAGGCACATGCACACAGCATGCTCATGCGGGGTGACTCCCACCAGCCAATACGCATTCGTGCCAGTAGCTCCCCTGGAATCCCCTAGAAGCTCTCAGAATGCCTGTCCTTAGGGCCATCTAAGTGGGCTGTGCTGTTCTGTGCTCGCCATTCTCCACAGGAGTCCTTTGTCTGCGTTCAACAGCTAAGGACGAGCAACACACTGTGCGAGTTACACCAGTAACTACGGTAACACTGATCCATGTGGACCACCGAACGCACAACCACAACACAAGCAGAGCTCAGCCATTGCCTGAATCATACTGACGGCCTTGCTTAGGCATCTCTCAAATGACCCTTCTGCCCACAAATCAGCTGCCCTTCCCTGAGCTCCCCAACAGTCGGAGAAGAGTTTCCAACTCCCTACTCATCTTTTGCAAAAAAAAACAAAAGATAAGATCATCACCCTTTTTCAAAGATTTCATTTATTTCTACATTGTTTTTTGTTTGTTTTAAATTCTGGACAGTTAAATCTGTTCCTATTCGTGAAATTACATCGATCCCATCTTATTACTAAATTAATAAAATAAATTACACCTTGGGCTCCTTGTGTTCCCTCTCCCCTGAAGGAACTGACCGCCCTTGAATATTCCCTTCACAGCCCCAGCTGGTGGAAGATTTTCAAGAACTTCGCAGGACGCTGGAGGCTATGAACATGTTTGATGCCAACCTGGGCTTCTTCTTTGTCCACCTTGCTCAGATCATGGTTTTCGAAGCCCTGGCCTGGCTCATCCTGTGTCATTTTGGCAGCGGCTGGACTGTTACCATCTTCATTTCTTTCCTTCTCACAGTTTCACAGGTAAGCAGCCATCCTGAGCCAGGCTGTGGCCCCAGGGAAAGGCTCGGTGCTGCTGCTTCTCTCTTTAGATCTCTGTCAGCAGCCGCCTGACACTTGTTAACAGGCAGGTCTATACAATTATCAGCAGGTTACTACACTCACCTGGGCCCGAGTTCTCTCATCTCTAACATGAAGATACTACTGAACGTGGAACTATTCTGAAGAAGCCTACACACACCAAACATACCTAGCCCGGGGCCTGACATAGTCTCACTAATGGCAGCTGCTTCTGTTTACCCTGTTTGATTCCTAAAATTTCAGAAACCAAGGTCCTGTCCTTGGCTGTGTAATATTCATCTTTATCATTCATTTATGAACCTACCAACATTTACCAAGGAAGGGGACCATGAGTTCCCCAAAGACGGAGGCCACATCTCGGCAGATGGGAATAGAAGCACATGAGCTCCTCCGCAAATGACACACAGTGACTGATGCTTATGGAGCACTGGTAAAGTCCTTGTTGAATGAAGTGTGACTCCCCGAAGTGGCCTCTGTGAGCAGAAGGCCGGGCTGCGGTTCTGAGGGGACTTCACATATACCCTGTGTGTAAGAAAGGAGTCACCAGGAGGAGACCCAGTCACTCAGCTGAACATGCTGTGAGCCAGAGTAGGACGGAAAGGCATGGAGCAGAAAGGGGCAACTGGGGAAGAAGGTTTTGTAGAGAATTAACACAAATAGGTTTCTACCTTCCCGAATTTTTATGCCATGTTTTTTCTTGAAAAATCAACTTGCTTTATTCTTTGGAAAGCAACTTTTGGAAGTTGGAGAGGAAAAACCGGATGTGTTTAAGGCTTAGCTTGAGCTGGGCACCTTACACTACGCAACCAGTGCACGGGCCCGGGAGTCAATACTGTTTTCCCCAGCATCGGGTAACTGACTTGGGCTTTGGCTGCTGAGGAACTTGCCAGAGTCGTGCAGCTGGACATGATGGAGACCCTAAATCTGTGTGACCCCAAAGTCCGTGGACTCTGCAGTCCACGCTGGAAGATGAGGGCAGAGGCAAGGGGAACATTCTGGGCTGGGAGAACCACCTGCCCAAGGGAGGGAGGCGAGTGAGAACAGGACATGTGCGCACCTAAGCATGGGTGGAGGTTGGAGGAGACCGTGTGCTGTTCTCCAACAGCTCAGCTCCAGGAAAGGGCTTATCCACTTCTCCTTGACTTCCTGTTTCTCAACAACTCTGTCTCCCCTAGGCTCAGAGCTCGTTTTTGCAGCATGACATAGGACACCTTTCCATGTTTAAGACGTCCAAGTGGAACCATCTGATGCATAAACTCGTCATGTGCCACCTCAAGGTACAGGATGGGGGGCCACACATCACTCCCTGGGGCAGAAGTGTCTGTGTCTCCATGCTCCAATCAGTAAAACGTTTTTTATAACACCCCACAAATAAAGGTGAAGGTACTAACGATGGGGATTATATATACTAATACAGCAAATGACATCACAAACTATGTGCTAAATCAGAATTTTACATTTTAATGAGGAAATGTTTACTCTTATTTAAAAGCCCTTCTATTTTTCACTAATCTATTGAGTGCAATTCGTGGCATACCCATTGCTCTAAAGAACAATCTCATAGACAAGAGCTTGCACCTTGTCTTAAAGGTGAAGACGTGCACTGTAAAGTCATGAAAGGGAATATTCTTAGATGGGATTTGCCTTTTTGCTGGAAGGGTGAAGCTGAAGAAATAACAGATGAAGGAACAGATGCAGGAGAGCAGATAAAATAAGGAGCACTAATAGGGGAGACCAGATGTCTCTAGGAAGAGGCAGGTTGCAAACCCCAGACTTCTGGAAGAACCAAGTAATGATGGTGACAGCTGATCTGCACCTCTTAATGTGAGCTCCGAGGGGCAGGCATGCTGTGTAGCTCCCAGGAGAGCTCCGCATGCATTAGGCCTTTGGTAAGCACATGCTGACTGAACTGCTGTGTGAAGGAATGAATGAGCCAGGGCAATGCCACAGGATGCTGGGAGCAGCTTTCAGGGCTGCCTCTGACACCACTCACAGTGTGGTCTTAAGTAAACCCCATTTTATCTCTGGCTTTCTGTGTTACTATATGCAATATTCAGAGTTCAGTGAAATATCTACTTTTCTATAACTTTCTAGGATGTGTGACTATGCCCCTGGCCCAGGCTGCTGAGCCTTCCAATAAAACAAATTTTGCATTCAAGGGAAAGTTCACAGGAGCTATCTCAGAGCTCCTTTCTTCTTCCTTAACACAGAGAGTTTGTCTATTATTTTTAAAACAAACAAACACAAAGCAAAACAGGTTATCTGGTTCCCCAGCCTACAGCAGCTTGGAAGTGGCCGACCAATAAGAGGGTGAGGAGAACACTGGAGCCTGGCCTGAAGCCAGGTGAGCAGAAGCCACAGAGAGCAAATAACAGGGAGGGAGGACAGGTGGGAACTCCAGAGCCATCCCCTTCAGGCTCCTGTAACTGTCATGGGGAGGGATTAGAGCAGCCCTGGTGTTTAGTGGGGACAGATCTTCAGAGGGACTCACTACTGAAGCAAACTGAGCAGAAAGTTCGTAGCACGGTGTTTAACAGTGCAGGCTCCATTCTAGCTGTCACTTGGAGGCACCTGAAACGTTTAACCAAACACTGATTCCCGGCTCCATCACCACTGTCCTGATTAAATCCATCTCTGGTGGGATCTGGGCGTCAGCCTGTTTGAGAAAGCTCCTGAGTGAAGCTAATTGCATCCGGGCTGAGCAAACTCCAACAACACCACCGCCTCCCGTGGGAACTCAGCCACCATTAGCTGGGCCACTTTGAGCAAGTTCCTGGCTGAGTTTGAAACCAAGTTTCTTCAGCTGTTAAATGAGGAATGGTGAAGGAGGGCTTCCACCTGTAGGGTTGGTGTTAGCACCACGTATGTGCAATCTTGTGTGTCATGTGTAGCACAGCCTAGAAATGCTTAGCAATTGTCAGCTGTTACAAACATGATGCACAACCCTTTCCTAATCAAAGTGAGGACCAAGGATCATTAAGAAAAATGGCTAACCGTGCTGGTGTTAAGAGACAGGGAATTAGACCCTAAATCACAGCAGCAATGACTTGCAAGACACGGAGTCACCTGCTCTTGCCTGCTGCCTTTTCTGTTGAGTAGACTGTGGCAAAAGTAGGTTAAATAGCAGAGCGCTGGAGTTTGGGCTCCTATTAGAGATACATCTGTCCCTCAAAATGGTCAGAATGAGTAATAATAAAGTGAAAAGTTCCTTTTAATCAGGCAATCCTAGTAGAGACACTAGTCCACCCTCTGTCCACCCATGCTAGAGAGATGAGGTGGTTCTGGCCCTGGCAGTGCTTCCCACAGGGTAAAGGCAGAGGCAGTCTCCAAACCTAGGGGTCATGGGAGGAGATCTGCCCTACACGTAGTTGGCAATTGATCTGGTGCCAGTGTGTGGAATATTTCCAATAAGCCCCACCCTTGCTGGCACTTAGGGAAATCAGTGCTTTCCCAAGAGCCTAAACCTGAACAGTGCTCTTTCTCTAGAGTCCCCAGAAACAAATTTGTCCTAGCTGAAATGAGTCTAAACAACCTCGATGACTTCTGAACAAAATGAGAAAATGCTAGATGGCTCGTAAAGCAAACCTGGAGTCCTCTGACATTTAGCAGTCAGAGCCGGTGACTCATGAACAAAGTGAATATAGGCTTCAGCTATGTGCAGAAGAGAAAATTACCCATGGTGAAGAAAGCTGAGCAGAAGGTGACAAAGGAAATTTGAAGCAGCAACATTCCGATTTTTACATGTGTCACAATTTGAAATTTCAAAACTTGACTTAGTACCAGTCCTTTCCTTTACCCTACGGAAGGCAGAAATACTAATGAAATTCTTTGGGATTTTCACTCACTAGCTGTAAAAAGATATGGAAGTTCTGGTCTTTGCACTGTACATAAGATTAAAAAAGCATGGCTGAAAGAAAACATCTTGAACTTTCAGAACATTCTCAATCTGAAAATCTGAAATCCTAATTACTCCAAAATCCTTAAATTTTTGAGAACCAACACAAGGCCACAAGTGGAAAATTCCATACCATGAGACTTTGTTTCATGCAAAATAATTATTTAAAATATGTAAAATTAACTTCCCCTACATGGATAGGGTACATACGAAAATAAATTCTATATTTAGACTTAGGGTTCATCTTCACAATATCTCATTTTATTATGCAAATATTTCAAAATCCAAAGATATTTGAAATTCAAAACAGTTGTAGTCCTAAGCTTCAGATAAATGCTTGAACTAAACTGAACTCAAAATGAATTTCCTGTAGCGTAGTTTTCAAGCCCCATCTCCAACCTCCAATACACAGATTTTGAAAATAATATGTATTAAGTGGTGCTATCAAGGTGATGAGCAGAGGATGTGAAATTAAGACCTCCCTAAAATATTTGTTGGCAGAGGAAGGTGGGGTCAAGCACACTGCTTCCTGTAATCTTCTCAGTAACCTCACCCCTGAGGAAACTGCCCAAGTCACACTCCTGGTAGATGGATAGCCAAACAGGCATTTAAGTTCTCGTTGACTTCAGTCTAAAGCCTGAGTTCTTTCTTCTGCACCAAGAAAGGAGCTAACTTTGATCTGAGGTATGGGAGGGTCGTTCCTGCACAGAACACGCGTGGGTGGCCAGCACACAGATGCTGACCCTCACTTGGCTGTGAAGTATCCTCTTCCTTGCCTTGGAGAAGAGTCTTCAAGACAGAGGGCCCAGCCAGAGCTGGCTCCAGTTGTTTAGATCACACCTGTCCTCACCTGCCCACTGCTCTAAGTCCTTGTCCCACTGAGATCCTCCCCAAAAGTACTGAGAATCAAAACCTGTGTCACCAATTACCACAGATACGTATTTGCTAAAAGTACAGTCAGCTGGGAGAAGAGGCCAAAGTGTCAGTTCTGGGAGGACTTAATTTAAAAGAGAATCACTTATCACGTTCTTGTTTAATTCTCTACTGTTCCCATTACAGTGTACATTTCCAGGTGTGGGAATCCCATTTTATCATGTCTATCTTGACATCACAGATATTTAGCTCAGTATCTGACACATAGGGCATACTTCAAAATAATGGATGGGTAAATACATTGCATCTACAATGCGGAAGGAGATGAGTCAGATGCATTTGATGGGAGACACACAGAGGACCATGGACCTAAAGGGGAAATGGAAATCCATGGATCCAAGTGAGATACCCAAAAGGAAATATTTGGAAAATGGCTTCCCATTCAGGCATGTGATCAGGAGAAAGTGTAGAGCTGAAGGGAGCAATTCTGCTATAAGAATGTTAGGTAGTGTTAGAGGTGAGAGGAGAATTCCACTTCAGATGATTGGGGACGGGTGGCGATTGCTAACTGTATGGACCATGAAAAGGCAGTACCAACACATCCAACCTTCAAACATACTTGTTCCCTTCTGCCACAGATATGTGCTATCTACAGCAGCATTCTGCAACAGAAATATAATACTAGCCACATCAATATAGTGTGTCATTTTAAGCTTTCTAACAATCATATTTAAAAGGTAGCATCATTTTCCTCTATATATTCAAAATATTGTTTCAAGATGTAATCAGTGTAAAAATTACTAATGGTATGTTTTAATTTCCTTTTTCATACTGAATTTTCAAAATCTAGTATGTAGTTCACACTTACAGCCTGTTCAACTAGTCACATGCAACCAGTACAGCTAGGACACATATAGACTAGGTATTGAAGGATGGTAAGTATGCAATAAAGAAGCCACTGTTTCTGCTTATTTTTCTGCAAATGATTAACATAAATGAGGATAAAGCAGACATCTCGGTCCATCAACATTTTACGTACAGCGTGTCATATCTCCCTGAGCCACCCGTAAAGATCAGTGTCCTAACTGTGCATTTCCTGGAGATGGAATTGAGCTCCAAGGAGGTGGGTGATTTGCACAAATCACACTGCAGCATTTCTGTATCCAGCCTATGAAAGCAGGTTGATAGACTCCAAACCACTTCCTCTATTAAAACCTTCAGACTGCAGTGAGAGAGAAAAATCACAAACCAACCAGAGGCTAGTTTATCATCTGCTTAGCAAGCTAAGCATCAGCTAAAATATTTTATTCTCACTTATTTTGAGGCTGGGATGTGCAGTGACCCCACCACCACCACCACCAGCCCGGGGGGAAATCACTCCAGATTCACGATTTTTTGAAATAGTCATTGGAGTAGGATACTTGAGGCCACTTTTCCCAGAACTAATTAAAGACTTGGAGCAGAGGCTTCTTTATATGTAAAACAGAAATAATACTCTCTGCTTCTCCTACCTCCAAAACTCTTTAAAAAGAGGATCAAAAAAAAGAAGAATGGAGAAACAATTTATTTCAGCCGGTTTTCATATTTTCATTACCAGGAGTTGTTTTAGACTGCAGCTCCGTTCCTGTATCCAGGGATTATTTCTTCATAAGCTACAGCAGTCCATTGAGTTACTCTCTTCCAGTAGGGGAACAAGGAAAGTGAAATATCAAATATCTTAACTTTTGAAGAGGCACACAGAAAACTCAGACAGTTTGGGTATTTGGGGAGCAAACTCTTTTAGCTGATCATCCCTCTCATCCCCTCAGGGCCTGTCTGCAAACTGGTGGAATTACCGACACTTTCAACACCATGTAAAGCCAAACATCTACCCCAAAGATCCAGATATTGACGTGGGCCCACTGTTTCTGCTTGGAGATTCCCAACCTGTCAAGGTACGTTTAAGTGTCCCAGACCCTCGCTGAGAGTTGCTGGAAGAGATGCCTAGAGCAGCTGCCTTTCTTGTCTGGAAAGATCAAAATGAGCATTCTGGATTCACACACAATCTGAGAGCAGTGCTTTATCCTTTAGGTCCAGGGTACAGACTTGGAGTCATGGCTCTGTGACCCTAAAGGCCATCCGGTTCAATATCCTAGACCGGGTGATATAACCTGTGTCGCTCTGCTTGAGCAATCCCAGTGACAGGTGGCTCCCTGCCCAGCACTTATCACAGTCCTGAGGCAACATAAGCCAATGTTAGCAAATGGAACAGGGTGACCAAGTGTGTCATGACTCTCCAAAACCTAGCGAGGACACGGACAGATGCTCACTAAGACAAGAAAATCAATAAGCAGTTGACGAAAAACATCTAAAAATCTAGCTATCTCAACTAATGCTGGTCACATTAGAAAACATGATGGTGTTATTTTTAGTTTATATCCCTTTATATGTGACCACACAGCTCGAATATCTCTCCTCAAGGGAAAATGACAGATCCCGAGTCAGGTCCTTAGAAGACAATGATGTCTTCTAGAAAACCTTGACTGTTAAAAAATAGGTCTTTAGTTTTGTCCATTGTTGCCTGAACCTATTTGGTCCATCGACCAAAATTTGTCCAACTTTTTGAAAATGAGTTTTCCCAACTTTGGGAGACGTGTCCTCTGCCCCACCTGAACTAGGAAAGAGTCTTCTGCTTGTATATATTGTTTGAAGTTGTTGGCTGTAATCATAATCAGTTGCTTCCAACAAGGGCTCCATAAACATGTTGGATTTTCCTGATGCTTATGGACTTGTGTTCATCCCAGAATTGTAATATATTGATGTCACTAATGGTCCCCCCAAATCCAGAAGCCTGACTCTCCCAGATGTGCCTTCTAGATGGCATTTCTCAGCACACATGCTGGGTCTTTACGAAGGGTGAAAGCTACCTCTCCAGCTTCTCCAGCTGCCCTGGGGACACATCTCTAAGGCTTGCTATAGCGCTAAAGCCACTCTGCAAGGTGTTACTGAAACTTAGTTAAGCTCTAGAATTTAGTGGGTTCACTTCAAAAACGTTTCTGATGAGTCCTGAGCTTTTCTTTTCTTCCTTCTTTCCTGACAGTCTTTCTAGTACTTTCCTCAAACATCAATTTCTTAGCAAGCATTGATTAAATCTTCTATATTCTGCACTCCTATCTGGCAAGACTTAGAATCCTCCTTCAGTTCCTCTAGGTTTACTAGCTCCCAAGCACTTTCCACCTAGTCCATTTTCCTTGTTTCTTACTACTTATGAACTTCGAGTTCAGGGAGAAACTGAAAATGGCTATTATTACTTCATTATTATATGGCATTTTATTTGTGCCAGTATAAGAGAAGGAAAGGCCAACTATACTGTCCAAATACAGGAAAAACATCTATACATAGGAGGGAAGATACCAAACAGAAAAAAATGAGAGTCCAATGCTCCCTACAGTGTGGAACAGAGTAAATGTATAAAAATATAAACTGGGTATGAATTATCATTTATCCCTTCATTGGGTAAGCATTTACTGTGACCGCTAGATACAGAGATACAAACATTACTTCTATGCCTCTTCTCAAAGCATTTGCTGTCTGTGTGCCCTGAACACTGTCCATACTAAACACGTGAAATCCTAGGAAACAAACTATCCTCGGTAGTTAAGAAGAATATGATTATATTACTATAGAATCAAAAATCATATATAATACGTGTAAGTGTTCTGTAATATTGTCACTACGTGTTAGGAAGTCACTGTGTCAGAGCCATGAGGAGGAGAAAAGAGGAAAGGTGGGGCAGACTGGGGAGGCCATGTTTGTGTCTTACTCACATGACCAATTCGTAAGTAATTACTTCCTGTAGCTGGGACTAAATACCCAATACTCACAGCTTAAAGGAGGAGAAGTTTATTTCATTCACAGTTTGAGTGGATTCAGTCCATGGTTGTTGGCTCAAGGAAGAAACGGCATGGTGGGAAGGACATGGTAGAGGAGCTGCTCACTTCCAAGCAGTCAGGAAGCAGAGAGGGAGGGAGGAGTTGGGAATAATACGACTTCCGGGTCACGTCCCAGTGAACACCTCTGGCCAGACCTGCGCTGGTAACAGCACATCGGCTACAAACTCATCACTGGATTGATCCACTCATGAGTAGAGTGCCCCTGCTCCAGTAATTCCCAAAAGCCCCACCTCTAAACAGACACGTGAGACTTTGGGGGACATTTTGGATCTAAACCATAGCAGTATCCATTGGATGAAATAAAGGAGCCTGGGCTTCAGCAGAATCCTGATACTACAAGTGAAGAAGAGCAAGAAAAACTCATCACTACTTTCTCTGTGCAATTTCCATCCCACTCCACAGAAGGAGGACAAATTTCAAAGTGATTTCCATAAAAATTTTAAAAAGGAGATCAAAATCCTCATGGTAAAATGGAGTGATCCATCTGTGAGAGAACTGCCTACATTTAATTAAAGCAAAATGATGCCACAATATTTACTCCCATCCCAGTTCTGGTTCTTCTAGTATGTCAGGTTTGACAGCCAAAGACCATTAATCAGATGGCTCTACCTACAGAGATTTCACCCCCACACACACAGACACACACACACACACACACACACACACTTAAGAGTGATGACCAGAGGTATTTTCTTATTTTATTTTTATTCTCTTTCCATTCAGTACGGCAAGAAGAAAATCAAATACATCAACTATGAAAAGCAGCACCTGTACTTCTACATGGGTGAGTCTCCCAGACCCACTTTCCCTATCATTTTATTTCCCTAATGCATGCACTTATCAAGCCAAGAGGCATGATTAGACTCCTCCTGCAGGGACCAGCCTGTCTTACTGTCACTGAGAAAATCAGCACATCTTCGTTCAGACTCACCTATGTGAAAACCTGAAAAGAGGAAGGGAAAAGCAAATACACAATTTAAATAGGCATCTCATCCCTCCAGGGGGCTCTAGACAGGGAAGGAAGGAGATACTCATGAGGGTTGGAAGCCACAATGCCAGTCAAGAGGACCTACATCTGAGAGTTGCATCTTGGAATGGCTAAATACTATCACAAGAAAAGAATATTGGTATTGTGTAGAGAGGAAAAAGAGGTGGGAAAATAATACTGAAGCATTTATAGGGTGTTGCCAGAAAAAGTAGAAGCCAGAAGTGAAAGTCACCCTTCAAGCTTCTGCATGGAGGAATATTTGCTGTTTCCACTACCTACATGCAGATCTAGGACGTATGAGACTTACACATAAATATATCTATCTAGGTATGTGCATGTTGGCCAGGAATAAAAGCAGATAAGCCTCACTGAGCAATTCTGATACCAATGAAAGAATATCATCATCAAAGAGTCTTTGCCCTGAACCAAAATCAAACTCATGAGACCTCACAAAGAAATGTTTCAGGGACTCCCAGGTCTGCCCACCTAAAGCAAACTCGCACATTTGGGAAATAAACCAAAATCAGGGGAGGAACCAAACCGTGTCTGGACCAGTGATTCTCAGCCAGTAAGTTTTCTCCACGGGACCCTGACAGTGTACAGGGACAGGTTGGTGGGGTGATACTGGCATCCTTTGGGTAGAATGCAAGATGCTGGCAGATGTTTTACATTGCCCATAACAAAGAACCATCTCCCGCAATCCCAGCAGGGCTGAGGCTGCGAAACCCCTGCAGGTAATGTGAATGGCTTGTTTGGGGCACTAGCCACCACCTGTGCTGGGGAGCTCAGCCACTGCTCAGCTTGAAATACTGGGCATCCATGCCGCCTCTTCCACAGCTGGATTCAGTTTTCCCACCCTACACTCGTCTTCTGACCCTTCTCTTGCAAACCCCAAAAGAGGAATGGGACGTTGCTGATCATTTTGAAAGGAAGCTGACTGCACCCTACCTGAATACGTAGTTGCACAAGAAATCATTTATTTTTCTGAACTTTTGTGAAAGATGTGTCTTTGTTTCCCCCTTCTACAGTGATGCGCTTTGCCCTTAGTGTGTGAGGGACAAGCAGAGGGTGCGGACTCGCTGCAGGAGGCCCACCTCACAAACCCTTCTGCTCTAAGAGCTGCTTCGCTGTGTCCTTTCCCTGCAGATGCCAGTTTAGCACCTTGGGTACAAGTACGGGATAATTCAAACCATCCCAGAGAAACAGAGCTGGAAATTTGCTAAAGACTTGAAGACAAATTATATTCAGGCTTGAGATTAACTGTCTGAAACAAAACGTGGGAGACAGGCTTTGAAATGCCTGGGGATCCTAAAGAGTAAAAGTGAAAGACACTGCTTGAGATGGGATTGGGCTGGGGACCTTGGTCAGTGTGACTAGGTTAGGCCAGTGTCTGCAGATTAGCACTTCCAGATGCCAGGCTCTGCCCCTCCCGCAGAGGGTGGGGGACAAGGCCCAGCCTTCTTAGGGGATGCAAAGGCCCCTAGGACTCTGGCTGTGGAGGATAAATCTCAAAGGGGGAGAGAAACAATTTACAACTGGAAGTTTCTAAAATAATAAGTGATCTAAGAAGAGGAGAACCAGGCACCTACAGTCACATTGGGGCTGGAAGGAAAACGTTCAATTCTTTGAGGAACATAGAGCTTTAAAGGGAACTTGAGAGGGGTTCGATCATCCCAGAGATAGGACTTTGAACATAGGATGGGTGCTGGTGTTGGTTCAAGTTTCTGAATCTCGGCCAGGATGGTGGGGAGGGGGTGAGACCCTGTGCGCTGAGAGTTTGCAGTCCTCATAGGCCAAGGCTGAGACCTCATCATCCAGGGGCACAGAGGACTCTAGCTGGAGCTTGGTTAAAGAGATGGTCCTTTCCAAAGCCAAAGGATCCATGTGTTTGGGAAGCTTTGATGACATCAAAAATGACACAGACCTTCAATGCTTCCCTGGTTGCTCTGAAAGAACTTGAGCCTGGAGCTACTGACCAAATTCCTAGTTCAGTCTCTTGGACTTGGAAAGCCCAGTGGAGACCAGGCTGAGGTCAAAGATCTCTACTCCCTTCCTTTTTCAGGCTGGGAGCGGCATGTTAATGGGACAGACAGCTGCTGACTTGCACTGGGGTCTTATTCTGCTTATTTATCTACTATCGTTTTTTGTTATTCCTTTTCAGTTGGGCTCCCCTTCCTCATGCCTGGGTATTTCAATCTGCAATCCATGCAAGTGATGTACCTTCGAAAGTACTGGGTGGTGAGTATTCCACTCATTGTGGAAACTAGACCAAGTAGAAGAAGGGATGTAAAAATGCTTGGTTCTCACCAGATGTAGCTTCCTGGAGTCGCAGGGCATAAGATTTTAGACAGTACATGAAAGAATCCAAGTTCAGGGAAGGGGAAATGAAATACTTAGGGCCCTTAACTTTCGAGTACTTTCTCTTGCAGGACATTGTGTTTGTCAGCAGCTTTTACATTCGACATTTCATCACTTTTGGTCCTTTCTATGGAATTTTTGGAACCGTGTTGCTCATATATTTGGTCAAGTAAGAATATGCTTTTACTTGCATTACCCAGATGGTCCTCTTACCTTCCTTATCAGAGCTGTGTGATAAGTAAGTCTTGGCCCATGCTTGGAACTGAGATATTTAAGGAATGCAAACAAAAATAGCTAAAGTAGTTGAATAAGACAAACTAATTGAAAAAAGAATTTGCCCAATCTCATTTTTCTAACATCCTTTATTCCCAATTGAAGCATTTCCTTTACATTTTTATTTAGTTAGATACCATAACCTCCACCAATAGTCATGATAGGACAGCTTGTAAAGTTCACTTTATGACTAGAGATTTTTCCCCAAACCAAAATGACTTCATTTTGCCTAAATAGCCCTCTTCAACTTCCCAATTTTTTTATTCCTCATTTTGTTTATTATTGTTGTAAATCCCAAATAATTATAAGCATGATGACAGCTACTCTGCATTAGAGTCTGTGAAAGCCTTTACATGCATTATCTAGTTTGATATAATCCTGGTACAGTCCAACAATAGAGATAGTATCACCTTCATGTTCCTGCTAAGAGAACTGAAGCTTGGAGAGATTTAATCACTTGCCTGATATGACAGAACACGCAAGGACCAAAGCCAGTGCCAAGACAGAACTTGAACCCAGCTCTACCAATGACAAAGCACGGGCTATCAACCACTTTGTTTTATTTTATTTTATTTTTGGTACCAGGAATCGAACTCAAGTCCTTGTGTTTGAGGGCAGGCAGCAGAACCAATGAGCTAAATCCCCGGCCCTATCAATCACCTTGCATGTTTTCTTGGAGAACCTGATGATTTTTTCATCTCTGCTTTAGAGCTACAGAACTCTTTGGCAGCACTGCTCCCATGAGTTAGGAAACAGGGCAAACCAATGGCTAAATGTCTATGTGCCAACTCGAGATTGAAAGGCATTGAAAGAGCTACACAAAAGACCCCCATTTCACTGAAACCTTGGAACTTTTGTTGTTTCCTCCAATTTTTGGCCAGTTCTTCCCAAGGCTATGCAAACGCAGGAAATGCAACTGTAGCACCTTCAAGAGTCATTGCTCCTTGCTTTTGTTCCCCAAAAGGTTTCTTGAAAGTCCCTGGATCGCATATGTTACCCAGATGAGCCACATACCAATGAGAATGAGCGAGGAGGAGAACCGAGACTGGCTCAGCACTCAGGTAAGGATGGAAGTCCTCAGGGAGAGCCTTTCAAACCAGGCTGACTTAGAATCTGGACACCGCACACAAGAAAAACTCAGCTTTCTAGGGTGCTCTCCAGGGCTCAGGCACTGTGAGGCACTTTGCAGTAGAGACCGTGCGTAGTCTTACTTTACAAAATAAAATTGAGCCATGAAAAGGTCCAGTGACTTCTATAGGGTCACTCAACTCATCAGTGACATAAGCAGGCTTATACACTGGCCATTTGATTTTAGAGACATTCTTCTAAACCACGAGCCAGCCAACTGCAATTCAGGAGCCAAATCTGGCCCACTGCTTGTTTGTGTAAATAAAGTTTTATTGGGACATAGTCATGTTCCTTCATTTACATATTATCTGTGTGCTTTTATGCTACAACAGAAGAACTGAGTATCTCTAAAAGAATTAAAATATTTACTATCTGGTACATTGTAGAAAAGATTTGATGACCCCTCCTCTAATCTTCCACATTACATAGCCTTTTGAGTGAATCTGAGATCTTAAAATTACAGAATTAATTTTATACCTGTAAGGACCACATTTCATTATATAGATAGGGCACTGCAGAGAGGGCCCATCCTCTCCAAACACGCCGTTAACACTTAACAAAGCTATGATCAACACAGTGCACCCCCCTTCTAAGGCCTAGCCCTTCCCACTGGCTCTGCTGTGATGACAAAGGAACCCAGTTTGTATCCTGCTCCTTAATATTTCACCTTGTCTTGCTTGAAATATCCCTGAAAATATCTGTTACAGTGAACCATTTAGTTTTCTTTTTTCCATTCATCTTACCTTGTAATGATGCTTGTGTGAAGTTATATTAAGAAATTTAATTAAAATAATATGTAGCCATATTGTGTTTATAGCTAGTACAGGAAGTTAAAATAATCCCTCCACAAACCTGCCAGAGTCATTCAAATGCCTTCCACATTACAGACTGTCTAAAAGCAATAAAAACACTTTACATTCTTAAAAGTTATTGAAAACTCAAAGAGCTTTTGTTTATATAAGTTATACCATTGAGGTCTATACTTGAAGTTTAAAATGGGAGATTTTTGAATGTGTATAAATTAATTTTAAAATAATAAGAATAAAGCTAATACATATTAACTTCAGAGGGACAGTGCCATCTCATGTTTAGCCTCTGGAAAACTCCACTGTATAAGCATGAAAAAATGAGAAGGAAAAAGGAAAATAATGTATTAGAAATCTTATGAAATCATTTTGGCCTGGTAGATCCCATTAAATATCCCGGGCCGTCTCAAAATTTTCTGAACTACACTTTAAGTAACACTAACATAGAACAACCATGGACTGACATTCAAAATGGCAACCATCCAGCAAAAACTTAAATCATAAAAAGACAGTGAATGAAATGTAATTTGTATAGATTCTGAGTCTTAGAGTCTGGAGAAATCTATGAACTTCCACTCAAGATAATGTTTTTTCAATGCATACAATAAAATATGGAAGATTACAGAGGAAACTGTCTATACTGGAATGTGCGTCAATGCACAGAACCCCCTGGTTAGGACCCTTGAATACCTCACTCCGCAGTCAGAAGTTCTTCAAAGCCACTCTGGAAATAGTAATCAGCCCCTGTCATCTCCACCATAACCCCTCAACCCCATCGCCATCTGCCTATATCTTCATTCATGACACTATAATCTTCTATATTTAAGAGTCAATGGTGACTGTTCTCTCTCACATTCTACACACTCGTTTATAGCTATTGTTTTATAGCTATTTGCTTCTTAGCAAAATATCTTGTTACCCTATTTAAGTGTTAAACTTATTGAGACCTGGGACTGTCCACAGTAGTCCTCATAGTTTCTTTACACAAAATGAGTACTCAATATACATGTGTTGATGGTTGACTCAATAAGAAAACAAATAAGCATTTTCTTTGTCTGATGCTTGGATTCATTGATACCTGATGCAAGTTTTTTCTTTCCAGGTCTTGGCCACCTGTAATATTGAACAGTCTTTTTTCAATGACTGGTTCACTGGACACCTGAACTTCCAAATCGAGCACCAGTGAGTCACTGAAACAGCCTGTGTGTGGAAAGGACAGTCATGTGTAACAGTCCCAAATACAGTCCAAAGTAGGGTCCTTTGGCCAGAACCTCAGAGGGGAAAAATAATCAGGAATCTTTAACATCTGCGACTTTGCCATTAGCATCAATTATAAGGGAAGGAAGAAAGAAAAGAAGGGAATATAACAATTGTCAGAAAATGAAATAAAATCTGAGAAAAGAACTAGTAACTTAGTTTTAGCTACACAAAATCTTAGAATTTGGTGATTTGGTTTTTCTCTGCATTTTGGTTTGTTGGTAAAACCCAAGAAAAAATCACACTCTTGGGTAACCAAGTTGTGTTGAAATTTAATTACAATTTAAATTAAATCTCTACCACTGTAGAGCAACATTACAAAATAATCAACAATGAAATCCATTCCCTTATGTAATTTGCAATGGTAGCTGGCAATACATTGACCAATGGGTCAGTTAAGTGGACATGCAAAAAAAAAGAGAAAATGATAATACTTAAAGAGTCACTAAGAATACTCAGCAGAAACACTTTCCATGTCTTCTTTATCTAAGCTATATCTGGGAGATTCACAGAAAGAAAATGTGTATACCTGTTCATAGGATTTGTCATCTTTCTTTCTACATTAGTCTTTGAAACCTCAGCAAAACAAAAAAGAATTATCATTCACATTTTGTTAAAAAAAAAAAATTGGTTACAATCCTAGAAAGTCACTTGGCTGATTAGTGAAAAACTTTGGATAAGACTAGTATCTTCTCACTTCCTATTGCTCACCTAGAACTTTGCCCCTTATAAACCATGACCTGACCTTAGTGAATACTCACCTTTTCATGAACAGGAGTTAGACTGATAAAAAGAAACAGAAACAGAAAGAGACAGAGTCAGGGGGAGGCAGAAAGTTATCTCCAGCTCTCCTAGGTAATTCAAAATGATAGACAACCCATACTTTCATTTGAATTTGCCAAAAATAAACATATTCAGTGGAGCTGATATTTGTTCTAATTGGCATTTCCCAAATATTTGCCAACTACATGACCCCCAGAGGTGATACGATACAAGATGAGAGTGTTTTGGTAAGGGATTTTGAACTTCCCAGAATTGGACCAGGTTAAAGTTGGATACGCATTGCTGATCTGATTTTATTTGGTAATACAAGAAAGAAATCTTCGGGTTTTCCTTCAGGTCTAACTTCCATGTCTGCCATCTGTTTCCTTAGTCTTTTCCCCACCATGCCGCGCCATAATTACCACAAAGTGGCCCCACTGGTGAGGTCGCTGTGTGCCAAACACGGGTTGCTGTATGTGAATAAGCCCATGTTGACGGCGTTTGGAGATATCGTCAGGTAAGGCCACAACTGCTCAGGTAAGGGCTCACATTGTCTCTCACCGCAAGTTCCCAGGCTGTGCACTGCTAGTGAGTCATTCTTCCAACAACCACTTACCAAGGAGCACCCATGAGCCTGGCATAAACACAGGAACATACAGGGGAAAATACAGCGGCAATAATGACAATAGAGATGCCATTCACCTCTTGCGTCCCAGGCACTCCTAGTGAAAAGGCCCTGTCCTACATATTTCAAGCTCCTTGAAACCAAGGCTATGTCTCGTTTGTCTTTGTACTCCTGACCCTTGTGGCTTCTCACATGCTTCAGAACAAATGCAGTGAGCAATTATCAACTCTTCCGACGCCGTGCTGCAGACGCAGATCCCCACAGGCCCAGGGAAAGATGTGCACACCAGGCTGCATGCTCCAGCGCGGGGGTGAGGGTGGCAGGAAGTGAAGCCACTGTCATCCTCGGCCACTCACATTATCATTCCTGAGAGGACACTGTGCTCAGCAGGTTACCAGCCAGTGGCCTGGGTTTAATAACTTTCTTTGAACATTGAGGGAGAAAGGTACCTTAAGAAGGCCATCAAGGCCAGGCCTGTTCTCATCCAATCCCTGTCCAGTGCCCTGACTTCAGACTCTCCACAATGCCCTCTTCCTGCTCTGCCCTCCAGCCAGCCGGGTGAACATCAGTGGCTATAAATCTCCCTGCTTTGGCACTTTTTCTTCTGCCTAGAGCATTCTTTCACATCACCACCTCCCCTTCATTCCTGAGTCAATTCCCATTCATTCTGCAAGGCTCGTCTCAAACTCCTTTTCCTCATCTTGCTCTTACTGATCACCAGTGTGCCCAGTTCTCCCTTACTGGGTGATAATTTACCTAGTACACATCTGCCAAGCTAGATCAGGAATCCCACGCACACAGGACCGCATTGGTCCTCTTCATTGCTGTATGCCCAGAGTCCAGAAAACTCTTCCTGATTATAAAGTAGGAGAAGCAGGGGATATGAGATAGGTTGGTATACAGGGATATGGACGTAGAAGAGAGTAAAGTAAGCACAAATATCAAATATTATCCATAAAGAAAAAGTAAATTCACTTCCTAAAAACAATTCAGTGTATTCGTACCCTCCACTGGTCAACAGATAATGACACATATAAGATATGTCTGGAAGTGGCATTGCCCTGAGCCAGGCAGATGAGCAAAGGACCATGGAGAAGCGGCTCTTCCATGACAGGCTCACCTCTTGATTTCTATTTTTGCTTCTCCCCCAGGGCCTTGAAGAAATCTGCAGCCCTCTGGATGGACACTTACTATGAGTGATGTGGCTCCATCCAGCCTGCTGTGTCTCTGAAGGGGGTTAGTGAATGTGCAAGAGCTCTTCACTGTTTAACTGGGAATTAACTGGCACCACCGGCAAACCTGTGTTTGCCAAGGACATGAACACGAAGACACCTGACAAGCCCTCTTCCCTGAAGGTCTTCACAAGCAAGAAGCAGAAGAAACACAATACAACCTCAGCTGGAATGGCAAAGGGAAATGGGCGCTTACTGTGTTTGCTTTTTCATTATGATCTTGAATGTAGTCTATCAATATATGGTCAGATCACCTCATTCAAGGGGCATAAGTACAGAAATCAGGTAAAACCTTCCCAGAGAAAATGAACATAGGAGGAAGTAGACCAAAGGAGACTCATCTGATAGAGTATTTTGGAAAACAGTGCAGTTGCTCTTAGAAGATAATAATTTATTTAAGTGATCCCTGTTGCACAAATTTTCACATTTCTTTTCAATTATGTGGACTTCTTTTTCTTGAAAAGTTGATTGGCATTAAAATATCTTCAAACAGGTCAGTATTCACTTCAGACTCTCATTATTGTACCTATCTATGTGTGATTAGCATATATACACAGTGTTTCCCCACATGAAGAAATTAGAATTTCTATAAAATCTCTTAAAAGAATGTCTTCCATCCAGCCCCACCAGAAACTGATCAAGCAGTTTGATATTTAAAAGCATCTTACATTTGGCCAAAGAATAAACCTTGAGTATAAAAATTGGCTGAGCACTCCCTACCCACTGCAGAACCACCAAACGTCGTTACTGGGTCCCCAAAAGGAAAGGAGCTCAGTGGAGACTGCAGGTCGCTTCAAAGCATTTTCAAGGATGATATCCAATCAGGCGTGTTTGAGAGGAGGGTTTAGTGGCTCTCCAGAGTTTCCGTGCTGGGGAATGGGGGGACTCTCAGTGCTGTGCTGATCTCTATTCTATGCTTTTTTATCATGGGGGCACCCTAACGTGGACCTTAGCTGTAGGAGGGCAGTACAAAGCCCAAGTTTCCTTCCCTGGCTCCAAGCAAATCAGCATTATTGGTTTATCTTTTGCCGGCAGTTCTACCAGTAAACATTCATTCCCTCCAAACTCTTCAAAATACCCTTTGCATTGGTTTGTTTCTTAATTAAATTCCAAGTGAAGGACAGCACATTCAGTCACTCAGAGCTGCTGGGGAATTCAACTTCCATGGCAAAGCTAAGAAAACAAGAACTGATTGTCTGGGAGCAGGAGATGTTCCAGTGGGAATAGTGACAGATAGGAAAGTTGGGCAGGGGATAAAAATGGTGAAGAGCTTGTAGACTTCGTGATCCTTCGTGGTTGTGCCAGGAGCCCTTCTTCCTCCTGCTACTGGACCTAACAATGACTTCTGCCCGAATCCAGAGTGGTGAGTGGGAGTGAGTGCAGTGCACCTGGTCCAACTACCCTTGATGCTCAGGCACTGTTTGTTCTGCTGCCCCTGGAAATAGCAACTAGACTTCTCCCTGGGCAAATCCAATGACCTTAAAGGAGTTCCTCACTGATCATCAAAATTGGCCTGCTTTGTAGTTCTCCAAACAAAGGTGATTCCTGAGTGATTTTGAAGAAATCTGGAAAATGTAGCTAGATTGTGCAGAGGAATTGTTCAATTTTTATGAAAAGGTGCTAGGCCATCTGGTCTTAAGCTTTTCTTTGTTGAAATGTTTCCATTTATTTGCTTCTATGTCCTTACTCTGCATCGGTCCATTCAGAGTCTCTATTTCTTCGTAATTTACTCTTTATAGATTGCATGTTTCTAGGAACTGATCCATATCTTATAGGTTAGCCAACGTGTTGGTGCATAACTGTTTGTAGTGTCCTTTTAAGGTCCTTGGCATTTCTGTTTACAGAAAAAGGCAAGTTAAATAATGTGCTGTCTAGGCATTCGTGAGCATGTAGTAATGTTTAAAGGGAACTAAGAAAATAGCACAAATTGGGGGTCACGGGGTGGGGGTGCTAGGTTGCCAGGTAAAATGTGTGAGAGCAGGATGTCGGAGTGAGGGAGTGGTTCAGATGGGGATCAGGAGCCAAAACCTCGTGGCAGAAGGAAATTGGAAGACTTGAAAGAAGACTGGGAGTGAAGCACAGCAAGAAGGAAGCGAGTAGTATAAGGCGTGGCAGGCACAGGGCATGGCTTAGGGTCTGACCCTTATTCCAGGAGCCTGGGCATCCACTGAGGAATTCCATGCAGAGCTATACTATAATCTTCAGGAGTCACTTAGTTTAGAGAGTCAGGAGCCTGGTTGAGGAAGCTACCTTCATTTATTCCCTTACAGCAGGTAAGGTGGAAATACAGTGACCTTTAGAATCAGTCGCCTAAATTCTACTTCACTGCTTCGTGGTCTGGGAAGTTATGAAAGCAACAGGCTTTGGTCCTCTACCTCTGTGGAGCATACTGAACAAGCAATAAATATAAAGTCAATATCTCATCAAGTGAAAATTCCAGTCACTGCAGGATGAGAGAGAAAAATTAGTCAAGTTCATGAATTCAGGAAAATGGTGAATTTTACTGATTAGCAGGGTACTAAGCAAATTAAAATTTTACTCCATAGTGACACCACCACTTAAAGATGTCTTATTGCAAGATTTTTCTGATTGCAAAAATATGTTAATGAAATATCTTCCAATTAGATAGAGATAAATCATATCTACTTCACCAGAAGCACTTCCCTGTTCTTATTTCATAGCATAATGTCTTTAAAGTTGATTCATTTTGTTGCTTATTGCAGGACTGCCTGCTTTTCCAAGGCTGAATGCGATTCCATTTTGTGTACATACCATGTTCTTTAACCACTTATCTGCTGAGGAACATTTAAGGTGTTTCTACATCTCACCTACTCTGAACACTGTTTCAATAAAGATGGGGGAGCTCATATTTCTTTGAGGTCCTAATTTAAAGGAATAAATACCAAGAAATAGAATTTTGTGTAAAATTCTCAGCAATACTTATGAGCACATGCAAAGCAACAGGATTGATCTACACCCTTCATGGGCATTGTTTCATCTGATCTTTATAATAGGCCCATGTGGCAGGTGCCATCTCACTATATGGATGAGAAGCCACAAGCTTAAAGAGGCTGAGGAACATACTTGATCTCGCAGGTGGAAACTGATACGGTAGACTTTCAGAGCTAGGGATATCTGACTCTGTAGTCAGCACTCATTAATTCTCGTACTAAGAAATTCAAAGCACAAGAGAATTGCGTGGCATTAAAAGACATGGGCAGGTGGCATTTGGGGAATATTTCTAAGAGCTTCCTGGGAGCTCATGAGAGGGCACAATGACCGTTAACCCTCCACAAGAGTGTGTTCCACCCGAACAGGTGACCAGAGAGGGGAACACAGGAGAGCACCAGACAGGCACAAGAGCCACCTGGAAAGAGTCCTTCCCGAGCAACTTACACTCATCAATCTACAAAAATCTTCCAGCTCAGGAGAGTTTCAGTGGGAGAGTCTCAAGCTGAGCTTTAACCTTTTCACAGAGACAGATGCTACGTTAAACATGGGGGAGCAAGGTGAAGAAGCTGATTTAAGAATTTGCAGTGGCATGGCATGAACTCCACCCAGGAAAATCTCACATTCCCCATGGTTATGTTTGTGTGTTTTTCCTTGACATCCTGTTTCCTCTAAAACTTCATCCTTCTTGGCAAAATTAAGTAATGATAATTTGCCTGCCTTTTCAGTCGGGCATTAAGTAAAGGTGACTAAATTAGAAATCAGAAGATTCTAATTCAGCTCATTAACTTCATACCCTAATATGAACCTGGCCAGGTTACTTCCATGCTGTATACCACAATCTCCACATCTGTAAAGTAGGTGTGGCACGTAATATTATTGGCCTGTGCATCATAGCATGATTGTAACAATCAAATGAAGTGAGACAAACGAAATGGTTTCATTTAGTGGGGAACACCCATTTTAATTCTGATTATTATTAGTTACTGTCATTATTACTATTATTATTATTATGAGGTTTTGTTTCATCTTGGACTCACTGAAAGCAGGAAAAGAAAAAGGGAGGAGAGACACACAAGCTCACAGGATGGAAATACACTGAATGGCTTTAACAGTGTCAAGGGCACTTTTCTCCGGAGCAGAAGCTTATGAGTCACATCGGAGATTTCTCCTGTTGTGAGAAGGAGCCCTGGGAGTCACCTTCTGCTTTGACTCTTCTAAATCCCCAGGGACTGGCAGCTAGATTTTAAGCTAAACAGGGAGCAGAAACCCAAGGATCTAGCTACCCAAACTTATGGGTAACCAGATGAGCACTCAATTTTTATTGTCAGACATCTTACCAACTATCAACACTATACAACATTTACTGCTAAATTAGATTGCCCACAACTTAAAAGAAGAGAAGTTTAATTTGGCTCACATTATAAGGGGACTCAGTCCATCCTCAGATAGCTCCAAAGCAAGAACATCACAGTAGAAGGGTGTCAGGATCAAAGCTACTTAGTTCATGGTAGCCAGGGACCAGAGGAGAAGAACAATGACAAAGGGGAAAGGGCTCACGACCAGACACAGACCCCAAAGCAATGCCTCCTCCATGCTGCACCCCAACATACCTACAAGCCTGCTCCTCCAATCCCCATGGTGGATCCCAAAGACAAGCATCAAATATATAAGAGAAGACATTCTTGATTTTTTCCTAGATAATTATCTACTATCTTGGTATAATCCTAGAAAAGCAGAAAGTACAGGAGTTTGAACTTCAATTCTATTGAGGGCAGGAATACAGTTCGGTACTTTTTCTGTCACAACAGTGTTTGTGAAAGGTTTCAAACAGCAACGTTGAAAGAATTTTATAGGGCACATCTATACTTAATTTCCACATCAACTTTGTGGTAAACTTTACCTCATATCTATTCATCTATGCTCCTCTCAGTCAGTCCATTAAGCCATTTTATTTTTTAGGCACTTTAAAGTAAATTTCTGGGGGGTTATTTTTTAAAATAAACCTCAAGTTGTGCAGACAACACATTGTGTGAAAGTGTATTTCTCCTCTTCAATAAAGAATTGCTGAAGATTACCTCTAGTAAAATATAATGTACTTAACTTTTCTGCAGTTTTCTCACTCAGTACAGAATAAACCTTCATGCATGCACATATGCCTGTCTTTCCTTTTTGCATTTCTTCATATTCATTTGTATTCATCACTCTTTCTCTTTCGTTTGACAACACTTGCTGAGCACCTACCATGAGTCAGGCATTGGGGCCAGGGGACAAGAACAAGAGAGGCAGAAGGCTCCAAGGACTTCCATTCTAGAAGAGAAGGGACCCAATCCACAGGTGAACAGAGAAAAATGTAAGATGGTTGCATACAAAGGAAAGAAGCTGAGTAGAGTGAGGGAGTTAAGCAGGGGACTAGATTATTTGAAGAGGTTAGTGAAGAGGTGATTCTCAGAAGAATATTGAAAGGATCCTGCCATGAGATCCTGATGAACAGGAACATCAAGAGCAAGTAGAAAGGCCTGGAGGAAGGAGCACACTTTTGTTCGGA